GCATGCATTGCAGCCGCACGTTCCACTTCCGTTCCCCTGCACTACAAGCGTACAGGGTAGAATTCCTCATTGTCTTACTTATTCCAATGAAAGTGACCACGGGCTCCACCGCACCGGTGGGGTCACGGGGGGCCGGACCCCCAATAATTTGACTTTCGTAATGTAGCCTTATGCATAAAGGCGTGCGTTTTAGGGTTGGACATCCGGCCCCCCTCCCCCACCCCCACCTGCGACCGTAGTGGAGCCCCTGAAAGTGACCAGCGCACACTGCAAAGCTGTCACAGCGATTAAGTCGACATGCCCATCCACCCCACGATCACTCCCCGTCATGCCTGCTATGCCAGCGAAACAGTTGAGGGTGCCTGCTTTGCCGGGAACATTTCTCTGAGGTGCTTGGTGATGGCGCTCTTGATACCCCTGAACTCCCTTGTGTCGTGGGAAGTCCAACTGCTGCAGACCGCTGCTCCAGTGCGGTTCTTTTTGAGCTGGTTAGATGCCACATTTTGAATGGGGAAATATCACTGCGGTCTTTGAAACTCCCAAGTGGTTTAATTAACCCTCGCCCCGTTGGAGGGGGGCCAATTTGGTCCCCCTGTGCTTTTTCCTGAATAGCAAGAAAACGGCGACGCGCAGCGCCACCAAATTTGTAGTACCTTCCCGTGCATCAATTTGACACCTCCACACCAAATTTCAAGTGTAAGGTCACCTTAGGTCAGGAGTTATTCAGGTCAAACTGAGGTCATGTTCGAGCAAAAATGAGCAAAAAAACATGCAATCTTGAAACGCTCATAAAATCTACAGTTACCAAGCAATTTCAAATTCTTTAAAAGGTCTAGTATAAAAAAGCAACGCTACAAAACTGCTATCTCGGATTTTCAAAATTTTGGGTTTTTGACCCCCAAAAATTCAAACAATTGATTAAAAAAAAAAACTCGAAAAACATCCAAACAAATTCCAAATTTCGAAAAAAAAACTGACTAAATGTGATAGTCCCTGCGCTCTTCTATATACATACCAAAGTTCAGATCGATATCTCGTTTTTTAGCCAAGTTATAGGAAAAAAGTTCAAAAATGATGACGTCAAATTTTTGAACTCAATTTTTAGCGATTCTAGACCACGTAGGGCAAAACCAAGACCACCATTGAGCTCCCCGTGATGAGCTGCATCGAATCGATAACCATTTTATGCAAAAATATCACCTTTGAAATTTGACCTAATTTGACCTGACCTTGACCTGACCTTCACCAGAACATAATCTAAACTGACCTCAAAGGCTGCCTGACCCACATAATCGTATTTGACATATAAAATGGACCATAATACATGCATCACATAATATTTTCATATTGTGACCCTCAGTGACCTGACCTCTGTGACCTGACCTGGTATCAGTGACCTCAAACAGCAAAATATGTCTTTGAAGAACATTTCCCCATCGATGATTTTCAATGAAATGCATTTTACTCGATTCTACAGACTACAACGCATTTCTTGAAATCCCTGTAAACGGTGAAAATTCGACCTTTGACCTGACCTGTGACGTCATCGGTTTGACCTAGGTCAATAAAATTGGGTCACAAGGTAGTTCCCTGATAGGGCTATCCAACACCGTTTGCTGCTTGTCGCTAGGTTGCGTGGTTCTCGAGATCTTAGGGGGGCCAAATTGCCCCCCCCCCCCCCCAACAGGGCGCGTTGCTCGGCAGAGCCCAACAGGGTGCGGGTTAAGCGGAGTACGTGGATTTATTAAGCGGATTTTTTTTTTTTACCGCGGGTGACTATGGAGAAAATCCGTGAACAGCTCAAGCGGCTATAATAAGCGGCTGGATTCATTATCCGTGGATTTATTAAGCGGATTCCACTGTATATGCAATGTGTTCCGACCGACTGATGATCATAACCTTTGAGATATTATCGGTTTTGTCGAAATAAGAATACCTACCAGTTACCACGCAGTTTGCGGAGGGCTGTACGTACATGTAACTCTGGAACGAATCGCTCGAGCATCGCTAATAGAGATGCCACAAATTTGCAATTTCATTACCCACCCCGCCCCGCAGCTACCCCTTGCCCAACCACAACTACCCGCAAGCTGATTTTGGCTGGGCCGAACCCGCAAAAAACCCGCAATTTTGAAAACCTGCTTTTGCAAGAAAAAAAATACAGCTGGGTCAATGCTAGAGCTATATAAACCTTACTTGCTTCATTGCTGTGCAGAAAGACAGCCAAACAAATAGTAAGGACTTGAAATTGCTGTGCTAAGTCCTCAGGAAGTGCACACTGGATAGTGGAAAATGAATAATGTATCAATACATTTGAAATTCCTTTCTGAAAAGAGTTCAGTAAAATCTTTCTCTCACCTTACCCTTCAGCATTGGCTGAGGATCAAAATTTCACTCTGGCTCCCTCTCAATGTTAGGCTTCTGGAATGATATTGTTATCAAATGAATGTTGATATAAAAGATATGCGATTTCCAGTTAAAAATAGTCACACGGTGAATAATGAGTATCCAGTCGATCTTCTACACATAAAACAAATCATGCAAAATCCCAGCAAAAACCAACTAACCACCAATGAATGAACCACGCGTTTCTGGAAACATGCGTCAGAAGCGTCACCAACAGCTGATTGCAAGGAATGTTACAGCGACTAAATTATTGCGGCCGTAGCTAGTGTGAACTTGTTGCGAAAACACCGTTGTATAATGCATATTCATGTGCCATTCTGATAAAATCATTTTACACAACTGCTAAAGTTTTATAATTCAGAGGTTAATCACCGGTTAAGAAATAAAGAGACAGTAAATACTAAATTAAATGTAATAATTTCATAGATGGTCTTGGTATGCTCTCGGGCTGGTCCTCTCTCGGCATACAAATGATAAGGACGTAAAAAGACAAAAGAAATAAATGCGACCAGCTACGTGGTTTTGTAACATGTATAACTGCTATATTGAGGTATTCAAAAACCAACACAGAAAAATTGATTGTAAAATTATTGCGTCATCAACGACAGCTTTCCTTCGCCTCTGAGACCAAAATTGACGCAGTCAAATGCCAATCCTTGTCAGAATGTCGGAAGTGCGCCAGTATTGTACTGCGTTATGTTTGGGCCGTATGCCAGTCAATATTTTGATTTTTTGTAAGGGTAATTGGTGTGTTATTTTCGTAATATAGGGTGGAACAGAACACAGGATAGGTAATCAATGAATTTATATCAAATTTTGTTTAGCTGATAGCTGTTTTTTATGCCGACCAGACGCAAATAAAGTAACATGTGGCATTTGCTCTGATTTTAAACATCTCATTTAAGTCTGGGTTCTTCCATAATGTATATCTAGTGCACACTGCACACAGTGGCGGATCCAGGGGGGGGGCAAAATGGGCATTTGCCCCCCCCAAACGGCATGATTTTAACATTACGCCTATGGACGATGCATGGAAAGAATCGATAAATTTTTATGGTTTGCCCCCCCCAAACCTCTGAGCTGGATCCGCCTCTGACTGCACATATACTTCAGTTCAGCTTCCTATAAGTTTGCTTTCAGGTTCTTTTATGTTTAATGAAATGCTTTCATCAGCATTTATTTATGCTTTGTAGTTTGTTGCTTATACCTTGGTTTGGTCATTGCTAGACTTGGATGCTATTGCTGGTTGTTTTCAGTTTTGCATTTGAAATGTGCTTCCTTGATATATTTTATATTTGGTTCTGTTTTAAAAGCTGTTTTGATGAATATTATATTGTTAACCTGAGCAAATGCACTTGGCATTGTGTTTTGCATCTAAAAAATAAAAAAAAAAATTTATAGGTCCTTAAGTTTGACCGCCAAATACCCGCCACACGACAAGTTTTGCTTCTCGAACCCGCCAAAAACCCTGCGGGTTTTGAAAACCCGCAGAAAGCGGGTTCGCGGGCTCAAAAGTGGCATCTCTAATCGCTAACCATAAAACATACGACAAACGTTGACTTTGCAAACTATTATCTTATTTCCAATAACGGCACAGCTTATTTCGCCTCACCCCGCATCCCCCCCCGTGACAGGTTTTGAAATTGGTTGAACCCCAAAACAAGTGGCTGGATCCGCCCTAGGGCAGGGGAGTGGCGGAAATTTTGCCCACCCAGTGAAAAATCCTTAGAGGAGGCCCTCCGGGAGGAGGCGCCTCAGGTGGCAGAGACCGATCCGGAGGCCGACACATCTGCGCACCACGTCACTGACATGGGCATCTAACGTGAGGTGGCGGTCAAAAATAACACCCAGGTTTTTAACATGTGGGCTCTCCCGAACGGTCCCGCCACCGAACCGTACGCTGACAGGGGGAGATCTATGGTATTCTGCCGGGTGCCAAGGAGGAGGATTTCCGTTTTGGATGTGTTCAGTTTAAGTCAGTGGGCATGGAACCACGATGCCAAGGAGGTGAGGGACGAGGGTAGACTCCATGCGTTGGATAAGGTTAGGAAGGTTTTGTTTGGTATCGGAGATAAGGATTTGGGCATCGTCAGCGCACTGGGTCACATGAGCGCCCGGCGCGTGCAGACTGAGGTCGTTGGCAAAAATTGTGAATAACAGAGGACCGAGGGCTGATCCTTGGAAGACTCTCATGGTGTTAGGAAGGGGCTTCGAAACCACTCTGCTACCGGAAGGAGAAGAGATGCAGACAGACTGAGTAGTGATTATGACCGGTAAGGTAAGAGGAACACCAGGTCGGGTGGATACCATAGAGCTGGAGCTCAGAAATTAGCAGTGAGTGAGGAATGACGTCAAAGCATTTACTGAGGTTCAGAAGGCCGAGGAGGGAGATGAGACCACGGTCCATGTTGGAAAAGGTGCGGTGGTTACAGAGAGCAGAGCGGTTTCGGTGGAGTGGAGAGAACGGAAACCGTGTTGGGATGGAGAAAGGAGGTGGTTGTCACACATGTAGGTGGGAAGTCAACGAATTCAAAAGTATCTCAGTCAGCCCTATAGGCCCACCTCGCAGCTCACCCAGCCGGCCACGCGCCTACCTTCGATGACCACGGCGTCGTTGGTGAGCGCAGTGCGGCCGTGCGGGCGGCTGACAGTGGCCGCGCGGCCCGCCGTCAGTGTCACGCACACGGCCACGATCAGCTGCAGCGTTCGCATGGTGGCCGAGAGCGTGCTCACCGCTGCCAGGGCGCGCCGAGACTGCCGCTCACCGCTGCCAGGGCGCGCCGAGAGCGTGCTCACCGCTGCCAGTGCGCGCCGAGAGCGTGCTCACCGCTGCCAGGGCGCGCCGAGAGCGTGCTCACCGCTGCCAGGGCGCGCCGAGACTGCCGCTCACCGCTGCCAGGGCGCGCCGAGACTGCCGCCGCCGCCGCCGCCGCCGCCGACCGCCGACCGGTTCCGCTCAGGGGCGGTCCGGGGCCTATGACCCCGAACCGATTGTCCCTCCCCTTATCACTAAAGTGGCTAATGCTAGTGGTGTCAATGGACGCGTGTATATCACACCACGGTGAGAATTACATAATGCATCGCACTGTAGTGTAAACCTCACCCGGGTGTGATTTACACAATACACTACTCCTGTGTATATCACACCACGCGGAGTGTGATTTACACAGTGGGCCGGCGATGCGTAAATCACACCGGGGTGTGATATACACAATGTGCTCCTAGTGTGTAAATCACACCCGGGTGTCAAACCACGCAGCACCTGGGTGTGATTTACACAGTAGGCCCGGCAAATGCGTAAATCACACCGTGGTGTGATATACACAATGTGCTCCTAGTGTGTAAATCACACCTGGGTGTCAAACCACGCAGCACCTGGGTGTGATTTACACAGTAGGCCTAGCCAATGTGTAAATCTCACCAGGGTGTGATATACACTGTGTGCTCGGTAGTGGGTAAATCACACCTGGGTGTCAAACCACGCAGCACCTGGAAAGACACTTAACCAAACCTTAGACCTGACCTAACCTAACCTAACCTTACCTAACCTAACCTAACCTAACCTAACCTAACCTAACCAAACCTGACCTACTGATTTTTGCCTACCCGTGGATGAGGAAGAAGTTACTCGCATGAAGAGATTGCAAGCAATGGTAAGTCAAATATTTTTAGGTTAAGTGGTTGTGCATCAGGCTTCAGGCCTTCGGCCTGAAGCCAGATACACAACTTAACCTAAAAATATTTGACTTACCATTGCCTGTAATCTCTCCTAAGGCATTGCCTTCGGCACTGCACCGCTTCGCCACGAGCATTCAGACGTCGCTTTCCATATTGTATTGGTGCTTTTAAACTTGTCGGTCGGCAGCGAACCCACCGCTACCAAGGAAAAGCGAAAATGCGGGAAAAGGCACCGGCGCCGACGGGACTCGAACCCGCAACCTCCGTATCGTGGTGCAAGCACCTTCACCACTAGGCCAGGCGGTCAGCTGATTCGATCGGCCATCTCTATGGTACCTAATGTGGTGAAGATGGTGTGAAATACACACTGGTGTGGCATCTCGCGTAAATCACACTCTCGGAGTGTGATTTACACAGTCGGTCAAAATTGTGTATATCACACCGGGGTGGGTGTGATTTACACAAATGGCCGGTATTGTGTAAATCTCACCGTGGTGTGATATACACGGTCCCGGTGTCAATCGGAACTTGAATCTTCGGAATTCCGATTTTGTCCAATGTCCAATTCGGAATTTGGTTGGACAATGACAGCGGGCTTTGGACAACTTTGGACAATCGCTTGCTACACCTCATTTTCTTTTATAAAGTAATCGTGTTTAACATTGATTGGCCATTAGAAAGCTCAGTTTTCCATATCATTAACACGTTTGAGCTGGTAACGATACATTAAAAGCGAATTAAATAGCGGTGTTGAGTGTAAACTATTGCGTAGATGTCGGACATCTTTGGACAAATGGCTGGCTTGGACATTTTTGGACGGACAGTCAACGTAAGTATTGGACATTGGACGGACATTAAACATACGTTTTCTGAAATTGACACCACTAGCTAATGCTATCCCACCTTGAAAGAAGTTAACCTGCGCACCGACGGGGGCCGCGAGAACCTCGCACCGACGGGGGAGAGCGGATGACCCCCCTCTCCTCCTGAGATCTCGAGAACGAAGCAAGAAAACGACAAGGGGTAAAAGAAGTTAACCTGCGCACCGACGGGGGCCGCGACAACCTCGCACCGACGGGGGAGAGCGGATGACCACCCCCCCCCCCCCTGAGATTTCGAGAACGAAACAAGATAACGACAAGCGGTAAACGGTATGGGATATGCACGGACAAGGTCTAGAATTTTTACGAAGCTCATTTTCAGGTCAGGTCAAAGATGACGTCACAGGAGTAAAAACTCAAAATGGCGGCGCTAGATATGACGAGTTTTTCTCGAATAACATTCAACCATGCATAAATTCGTCATTCACTTGCTGGTCTAATATTTATTCATGGTTTTATTGAACCACATTTGTGGACGAATGTTTGCGGGGACGAAGGTACGCGCAGACAAAGATCTGCGGACGAAGATATGAAGATTTGCGGACGATGATCTGCGCAGACGAAGATTTGCGGACGAAGATATGCGCAGACGAAGACTTGCGGACGAAGATTTGCAGGGACGAAGATTTGCGTGGACGAAGAAATTCGGACGAAGATTTGCGTAGGAGAAGAAATGCGTGGACGAAAAAATGCGGACGAAGATTTGGCCGCAGATTTGCGGACGAAGATATGCGCAGACGAAGATTTGCGTAGACGAAGAAATGCGGACGAAGGATTGCGTAGACGAAGAAATGCGCGGACGAAAAAGTGCTTGACGAAGAAATGCGCCGACGAAGAAATGCACTACGAATATTTGCGCTTACGAAGAAATGCGAGACGAAGTAATGCGACACGAATAAATGCGCCGACGAAGATTTGCGGACGAAGAAATGCGGACGAAGAATTGCGCGACGAAGAAATGTCATACGAAGATTTGTCCTGGAATGAGGAATCCACAGGGGAGCACTGCCGCTTCAACCCTATTGTCCGTAGGGTCTAGGTGGCGGCCATATCGCGCAGACCAGGAACCGGCCGCCGCCTGTGTTGAGGAATAGGGAATTCGGGACCTCGATTTACGTTTGCGACCGCCGCATTCGTTGCGTTCAAGTTCAGGACAGGCCGTGTCCGGCTTTGAAGGGCACGTTATATTTTGGCATCTAAATTTTCCCGTTACCCGGAATTGCGCGATCGGACGGTAGGGGTCGGGGTCTACGCAACAAGCTCTGCTTAGCGTGAGCTCCGGCTCTGTCAATCCGTCCATTCAAACATTCGAGCTATATTTATAAAAAGATTACTTTTTTATATTGACAGTTGACACACCCAGAAGATTCCTTGAAGTGAGTGTGACGAAATGGAAATATCTCAAGGTGAAGTGAAAGTAGCAAGAGCTTGTTGTCACAAGTACAAATTGAAATGGATATGGAAGTGCCTGTATATAAATCATATCGCCAATCAATGAATAGCAACAGAGTTTATTGGTTTCCCAGATGGATCATTGTATGTACATAGACTGTGTTGGATTGGATCAGAATGCAAACTTCTGTTATCCTATGCTGGATTTTACATGCGCTAATTTAACCCTCGCCCGTATTGGTGTTTTTCCAGCCGCGAACGTATAAGGGGGGGGGGGTCCGTTGGACCCCCCCTTACCGTTTCGCCCCTGAACGAGCTAGAGCTTCGCGGAAAAAACGAGTGTGTTGCCCGTGACGAGAGGAAGCCGATGATACCTAATTTTAAGGTCCTAGGTCATTGGTTGACCTTGCAGGTCAGGTCAATGACCTAAAAGTCGGGAAAATCGGGACCTGTTAGAACGTCGTAAAGTGTGGCTGCTACGGGGTTTTTCGGGGTGCTGATCACGAATATCACGTTCGTTTTGATCACAGATGATGTCTTCATGCATTTAGTCCAGGTCGGGTCAGGTCAGGTCAGGTCAAGCAGTGGGGGTCCTGCCGGGTATTCCTAGTAGGTGTCAACCGCCTCTGACAGCTTCGTAACATGTTACGAAGGCACCAAAACTACTTCGTAAATGTTCAAATGGTTTCTAAATTCGAATTCAGCTGCAAAAACTGGCCTAGAAACATGTAAAACTAGAAAAAAGTGAACCGAGGTCATCAAAGGTCAATGACCTGACCCGACCTTCAGGTGACCTTGGCACCCACCCTAACGCATGGGGGCAACATCATATCACATGTTTGAACGCTTGAAACCACGAAAAAACTGCAAACGCGCGGCTAATGCGAGCCGACATACGCCGAATCGCGATTCCGGCCAAACATGGTCTCGAAAAGTAGGTCACAGGTCAAAGGTCATTGGGGTCAGGGTCATGAAATTTTCAGAGTAGGTGTAAAATTTATTAATGCGAGGGTACTGAAAGTTTCGTCGCGATCGGCCGCTTTTTACGCGAGTTATTCGCGAAAAACCATGGGGGGGGGGTCCGTTCGACCCCCCCCCCCTATACGGGCGAGGGTTAAAGTTATGTTCAAATACTTAGGTGTATTTTTTTTTATCCGCTGGGACTGAGAGCGTGAGATGATGTTTTTCGTACTCCAGCGTAGATGGGTAGCCATCTACGCTGGAGTACGAAAAACATCATCTCACGCTCTCAGTCCCAGCGGATAAAAATTACACCTAAGAATGATCCGCATAAAACTTGGCAGAAAGCTCGTTAAAGTATTTGGTCTGTATAGCTCAGAGGTAGAGCATTGGAGCGCTAATCCAAAGGCCCGGGGTTCGAGTCCCCGTACAGCCCAAAATCTTTAACGAGTTTGCAAAAGATGACGGATGTCATCACTGTCAACCGTGGAAGCCGTATGGCTACCCATCTACGCTGGAGTACGAAAAACATCATCTCACGCTCTCAGTCCCAGCGGATAAAAATTACACCTAAGAATGATCCGCATAAAACTTGGCAGAAAGCTCGTTAAAGTATTTGGTCTGTATAGCTCAGAGGTAGAGCATTGGAGCGCTAATCCAAAGGCCCGGGGTTCGAGTCCCCGTACAGCCCAAAATCTTTAACGAGTTTGCAAAAGATGACGGATGTCATCACTGTCAACCGTGGAAGCCGTATGGCTACCCATCTACGCTGGAGTACGAAAAACATCATCTCACATTATGTTCAAATAATTATACAGTATGTTACGCGGCGTTTTGCATTGGGATTTTGATGAAGATGTCGATGCTGATTTTTGTCGTGGTTTCCTTCTTGTTTCCTT